TGGGGGTGTGGGGGTGGGAGGGAGCTCCTGTAGGTGGCGTTGCTGTGCGACCCGTGAGCCCCTGCTGCTGCTTCCTAACAGGGGTCAGAGCCAGGGCGTTGGGCAGAGCCTGGTGCATCCCAGCGGGTGCGAGGGGTGCTCTTTGTGGGGCTTTTCATTGCCGCGAACGGCTGTCCTGGGAGGCGGTCGTGGCCTCTCCTAGAAGAACCTGATCATGAGACTGGTCTGGAAGTATTGGCTCAGCATTTGTGTAAAAGTGTTGGAAGTGCAGACACCTGCGTGGGGAGCCCCGCGGTGGGTCCCCGTGGGAGGCCTTTGCCTCTGATGGCTCGCTGAGTCAGGCTCCTGTGTTGCAGAGGTGACCACTGTGACGGTGGCCAATGTGGGTGCCTCGGCGGACAACGTCTTCACCACGTCGGTGGCGAACGCCGCCTCGCTGTCGGGACACGTTCTGGTAAGCTGCCCGCAAGCACCCAGGTCTGCGTCCGCTGCGACCCCAGGAGGGTGGCCCGCCTCCCCAGAGCTGGGTGCCTGGCGCTGGGGGACACAGCTGCCACGCTGCTTTCAAGGACATGCCCCTGGCGGTGAGAGTGAGAGCTGAAGTGGACCCAGCCCGTGAAGTGTGGGCAGGCGGGGACCCCTTCCCAGCTGTGTGGTCAGGGACAGTGGTCCTGCCCTTCTAACCAGATGGCCATACAGTGGCTCAGGGGTGGGAGCTACCAGCATCTGCCCAGGTCCAGCCTCCCTTGGTCCTGCAGCTCCAAACACTTGTCGGGTCTGTGCCTTTGGGGCCCCGCATTCCGCTCTCATCCTGTGCAGTCCACTGCCTGCCACACGCCCGCGTTGTGCACCAGGGACCTTGTGCCTCCTCAGTCACGCTGTGCCCAGCCAGTCGCGTCCCCAGCAGCGTTTGTGCCCAAAGCCAGAGCCTTCTGTGGTTGTTGCATCACCCTGTTTATCTTTTACAGTTGAGGCCTTCTGTGATTTGGGGGGACAGCCTGTTTGCAAGTGGCAGATGCCAGGGGATGGGCAGTCTCCAGTAAGGGGAATTTTCCTGGGACCTTTTCCGGAACTATTCCTTATGGTTTCTTTTCAGCCTGGAGGGCACACCTGGGAGGTGCCCGCTGGCAAAGTTATTGTCGTTGGGATGGCAACAAACAACTCTCCCCGTAATCACAGTGGTGGAGGGTGGAGACAGACTCGGGGCAGGTTTCAGAAACTCGGTTTATTTCTTGTGTCAGGACACATACAAGGCACTAGCCACTGCGAGGCTTTTGCGCTGCCAACCTGGTCACTCCTTTGCGGCAGCAGGTTCTGTCCCATCTGCCTTCGAGGAGGGGAGACCCAGAAACTGCTGGGGTTCGAGGGGAGATCCAGAAACTGCTGGGGTAGTGTTGGAAGCTGAGGAGGGGTCTTGAGTGTCTGTGTGCTCTCTCCTGCCTTGTAAGGAAAATGCTTTGAGTCTCAAACGGGCAGAGAACCGTTTTTTTCCAGGTAATAGCTGCACGTTCTCAGTGGCTCGGCACGTGCAGTGTAGACACCCGGACTGAGGCACTGACCCAGAGTGTGCACATGCGTGTGTGTGTGGTCGGGGCCCCTCGGCTCCATGATCAACGCCGGCACCTGCGGGTGCGAGGAGGATCTCACTCTGCCCTGGCTGGTTTTATCCTCAACCCGAAAGCGCTCGACCGTCCCAGAATGCTGGCTCTGGGCAGGTGCCTGGAGGCCTCTGGCCCACCCAAGGCTGGCTGAGCGAGGCCCTAATGGCTGGCCCAGGCGGGTGCCTGGTGGGCAGCGGGCTGGGCCTCAGCCCCAGCGGGGGACGGTGATGGGGAGGGTGAGGGGGGCTGGCCCAGAGGAAGTAGGCGGGTCATGGTGGCATCCAGCTGAGGAGAGGTGTGCACACAGTGTAAAGAGGTCTGGGAGGCCCTGGTGTCTGGTGGCTGTGAGCGAAGGGCCTTGGAAGGGACCCGCGTGACAAGGGGGTCGTGCGCCAGGCCTGGCTGTGACTGTAGACTTGGCCTTGGAAACCCTCCCTTGAGACCCACCGTCTTACAGGAGCTGTGCGGGTAGATGTTGGGGCATCTCCTGTTTCCAGCACGTTTTTGTAGAACGTGTTTGTTCTGTAACTTTGACAACCGATGTGGAGCATTTGCTCAGGGCCACCCAGACCTAGCATTGTCCCCTCTTGTTCTTGGCTGTGTGTTTAAGTCTTTTAGTGTCATCTTTGAAAGAGACCCATGGGGCATGGCAGGCATCCCCTTGTTGGTTATAATTAGCAAGAACCTCGCTGTGGGACCACGTCCCACTGTGTGGGTGACGTGCCCCATGGCTGTCACTGAGACGACTCACAGCCCGTTCTCACCTGCAGTCTGGTAGAACCGCGCTGCAGATCGGGGACAGCCTGAACACGGAAAAGGCCACGCTGATCGTGGTGCACACGGACGGCAGCATCGTGGAGACTGCCGGGCTGAAGGCGCCAGCTGCTCCCCTCACCCCAGGTACCGCCCCCCGGGACAGCACGCTCCCGAGCTGTGTCGACTTCTCTGTGCAGGGGCTCAGTTACCTTTGTGGGAACTTGGGGACGTTGGGTGTTACTGAGTGTATGTGGAAAATGGGCTTTTCCAGGCTGAGCGAGTTGTCCCGAGGGGAAGGGCAGCGCTGCCTGTCTGACGGTCCCGAGCAGCTGGAGAAGCTGCTGTCAGAGCCAGGCTGAGTTCCCTGGACTTTTCTGGTTGGTCTGGGTGTGTGTGGAGTCTCTCACTGTCACCATGCTCTCTCCGCCAAGGTCCTCAGTCTCCTCCAACTCCTCTAGCTCCCGGCCAGGAGAAGGGCGGCAGCAAATACAACTGGGACGCGTCCGTGTACGACAGCGAGCTGCCCGTGCGCTGCCGTAACATCAGCGGCACCCTGTACAAGAGCCGGCTGGGCTCCGGTGAGCGGCCAGGCGCGGCCACCGCTGCCTCTGCAGCCCCAGACAGCCGGTGGGGGGCCCCTGTGCGAGGGAGGGAGAGGCGGGCCAGGGTGCCACGGTGCGTGCTGATGGCCATTGCTGTCGTCCCAGGCGGCCGCGGGCGCTGCATCAAGCAGGGGGAGAACTGGTACAGCCCCACGGAGTTTGAGGCCATGGCGGGGAGAGCCAGCAGCAAAGACTGGAAAAGGAGCATCCGCTACGCGGGGCGGCCGCTGCAGTGCCTCATCCAGGTACCTGCTCCCTTCCCATCACGGCAGGAGGCACCAGCCCCGGGCCTCAGGAGCGGGTGTCAGTCACTTACCCTTTGTCTGTTTCCTGACGTTTCCAACAAGATGACTGTGATCTGGCCCCAATCGCTGTCAGGAGTGGGTGGCCAGGCAGTGGGTCCCCTGTGACTGCAGGTGACTCCCAGACAGCTGACTTCCCTGCCCCTCCGCTTACCGTCCAGGGCCCAGGCTGCTCAGCGCTGTTGCAGCTTAGCTCCCAGGGAGTCGGTGAAGACACGATGCCTGGGAGGAAGGCGGTGGGCGCAAGCGTGGAGAGCAGGTTCTGGAAACCATGTTTCTGTCCTTACAAATGTGTCTCAGCAGTGAAACTGGCTGAGACCTCACAGCGCTGACAGCTCACACGCAGGACCCCTCTGATGTGTCCCCACTTCAATTGCAGGACGGGATCTTGAACCCTCATGCGGCCTCTTGCACCTGTGCTGCCTGCTGTGATGACATGACGTTGGTGAGTGCTGGAGGGCACGGCAGGGCCCCCCCCACACACACCTTGGACAGAGGCGCGTCCTTACCCCTGGGCTCATTGGTCTCGTGTCCCTGGCACCCCTTTGGATCTCCCAGGGCTTGTCACAGCCTCTCGCTCATCTTCTGTGTCTCACACACTGGTAGCTGGTGCCGCGATGGGGACGTGGCCGGTCGGCCCCTGAGCCGTGTTTAGGACATTGAAGTTCCTTACATCACCGGAAGCTCCTGTGATGTCACCATCTGAACCCAAAACCAAACCCTTTCTGTGATTACAGCTCGTTTACGTGCCCTTTCACGCTGCGTTTTGATGTTAGTTCTTGAACTAGCCTGAGTGTACTGGTCAGACAGCTTGTGTCCTGAGCAGTGTCTCCTTTTCCCAGACCCTGAACTGTTGTGGAAAGAATGACTATTTCCGTGGGTTTTAATACAGATTCAGGAGTGGGACAGTCACGTGGAATGTGTGAACACGCCAGCTTTGTTTCAGCCTCCTCGGTGTTGACTGTTATTCTGAAATGTTAAAGTGAAAACCTGCTTAACGAGAGTTCCTTATTTTATTTTGATTGCTCATTTGGTTCGGTATGAGAAGCTATGGAAGAAAATTTAATGGGAGAGACATGCCAGGTTCTTGAGTGGAAAACTGAGTATTCTAAAACTGTCTGGTTCACGGGTAACTGAATGTGATTCTAGTGGAGAAACCGGGGGATACTTTTGTGAAAGTACAATAATTAAGTTCATTTGCAAAAACTAATCGGCGAGATTGGCAGAGATGTTGCAGGGGTGAAGGGGGCAGGAAGAGGAATGCAGGTGGAACTGGTCGCATCCGTAGGTGAGTCTCATAGCCCCGGAGCACCTTTGTACGGAACTCTGCTGACGGGAGTCGGGGCCCAGGCACTCGGAGTGATGTGCTGTGTCCACGTGCTGGAGACAGCCCAGTAAAGACGCTGCTTCTCCCCAGACTGACCTACAGCTTGAAGGTCCCAGCAGGATTGTTCGTGGAGACAAACAAGCTGACTCTGGAATTTATGTGGAAAGGGCAAGGAACAGGGTAGCCAAACCAGTTTGGCAAAGGAAGACTGAAACTGGAGGAGTCGCAGCACGTGACCTTACATCTGCTGTGTCGTTACCGCAGTCACACCACGTGCGGCTGGCGGGGGAGGCCAGAGGCTTCTGGGGACTCAGCGTGGGCTTTTCAGCACGTGGTGGGGGGACTTTGTTGGCACAGAATGAACCTCAGCGAGACTCCCACTTACACAGATGAATTCAGAATGGATCACAGCTCCAAATGTGAAAAACACAACTGAACTTTTTAGAAGAAAACTCGGGAAAATCTTTATGGCCTGGGGTCTCTTAGATGTGACTCCAAAGGCAGGATCCGTGAGACAAAAATTCGGTAAATTGGACTTTGTTACATGGAAGAACCTTGGCTTCCACATCAGGAATGGGGCTGTGAAGAGCTCCGTGGTCCCGCTCCCCAAGAACAACCCCAACTGGTGAGTTACAAAACTACCGCAAGGTCTCCGGAAGGCCCGAGGGGCACAGCACGTGACAGTTGGACAGGCTGGGCCAGGACCTGCCCCTTCCCGCCCTGCTCAGGGGAGGGGAGCTGCACTCCAGGTGGGTGTGGCCAGAACACGGGTCCTTGTCCCCCAGCTCCCAGGCGGCGCCCCAGGCATCGCGTGGGGGGCTCTCCTCCTCACCCAGCCTCTTCACGGAGGCCCCTGCATGCTGTCCCTCTGCTGGATGAGTCCACTGTCCCCAGCCCCAGCTTCGAAGCTCTCAGAGCCGTGGAGGTTTCGGAGGTGACAGGAGAGCCCCCGTGCTGGGACCGCTCAAAGTCACTAAATAGATCTGCAGGAAGCCGGGAGAGAAGGGAGTTGCTATAACACGTTATCTAAAATGTCCAGTTTTCAACAAGAATATAAGCATGCAAAGAAACGGAGTGTGAACTGTGCAAACCGTACAGTGGAAAGCAGACCCGGGGAGGCGCCATCTGGGAGGGGGCAGTGGCCGCAGCAGAGGCTTCTACGGACCTTCTTTGCATCCAGAGAGCAGCAGAAAGCCACGGCTGGAGGACTGGCAGGGACGTCTCGGTCAGCTCCGGCTGAGCTGGGGCCAGAACAGCAGGGCAGGTTCACTTTCTCACAACCCTGGAGGCCTTGAGCGAGATGGGTGCCGAAGGGGTTGCTGGCCAGCAGGCAGAGGGACGGACGCTGTCCCGCCCCAGAGCCTTGGCCTTTGTCACCTCCTGCTCCAGACACCACCGCCAGGGTCGGGCCTCTACCTGCGAGTGCTGGGGACACAGCCTAGTCCATAGCTGAAGGCATGACGAGTGTTTCATCAGACGGGAATTTCAATAGAGACACGGATGTCATGCAGGAGCCGCTTGGGAATTCTGGAACTAGAGGCGGGATGCCTGGCGGAGCTCATGGGGGCGCCGATTGAGCGCCAGGAGCCTGTCCACGGGCTCGCGGTGTCGCGCATCAAGCTCAGGGACACGCAGCGGCACAGTCGTCCTTGAGGGTTTGGGGACACTCTCTCCTGCAGCCATCGGGCCTGGGACCTTGTCCACGGGAGCTCGTCCATTACGTTCAGCATTTCCTCTGTTGTCACTGGCCCAGGGGGATTTCTTGTTTAGTGACTGCAGTGCCTCTTCCTTCCCAGTGCCTGGGGACAGAGCGTCTGCTGGACTGTCCCCAGGTTTAGGGCGGTGGTGTCCTCTCCCTTCCCATCTGCCTCGTCTCCTGGGAACCCCCAGACACTTGACTAGTTGACGATACTCTTTCTTGTTTTCAAGCGCCGTTATTCATGTGTTCTCTCTGACGTTCCCTCCTGTCATTTTGAGGGATCGGTGGCTTAAGGGGTGGAGGGAGCCCTAAGTGCAGCTGGCTGTGAGGGGGCACCCTGCTGTTCACCGGTCTGGAGACAGATGTCCCCAAATCAGGGGGAGGCACAGAGGAGCCGGCTGCCCCCCGCCTCACTGTTCCTTTCCCCCAGAGCGGTCCTGTCCGGCTCTTTGTCCCCTACAAGCGGCGCAAGAAGGAGAATGAACTCCCCACAGCTCCAGTGAAGAAGGAAGCCGCCAAGAACATCACGCTGCTGCCAGCCACCGCGGCCACCACCTGTGAGTTCCCGCGGCACAGGGCTTCCCTTCCTCTTGTCCTGCACTTAGTGTCACTGTGTCGTGCACCTGCTGCGGGTCCTCTGTGTAAGGCAGGTGTCACAGGGCCAGCAGGGCCTCAGGTCTCCCTGTGTCCCCTTCCTGCCCGGCCTGCACCTCAGGGACCAGCCCCAGGCGGGAGGGCCGCCCTCTCCAGAGCCGGGACAGTGCCTGGCGCACAGCTCACTTGAGAGAGGCTTCCTGACGTCCCGGTGCCTCACCAGCCCCAAGCGTTCTGGACATGGCCCAGGGTAGCCGAGGGCCGAGGTGCCGTCCCAGGCCTCCTGGGGGCGTCAGCATCACACCTTCCTGGTTTTTGGTTTTGGCAGCTTTGATATGCTCCTGCTGTTTGTCCAGGAACAGGGACAAGAAGGGAGGGAAAAGCTGGCTTCCTTTTGAAACCACAGAATGGATGGAAAAGCTTTAGAGATGCGACAGGCAGCGATAGGAGAAATGGTTGCTGGGGGATTTGCAGAGACTGGAAGGAACCTGATGCTTGATCACGGGGAACGTCTCTGAAGCCGCCCTCAGCCAGCACTCTGGCTATCCAGGGGCTACACGCAGAACCACCTGGACAGGGCTCAGCCAACACACGGCATCCTGGGTACGGCCAGCCCAGAGGACGTGGGGCAGCGGTGCTGTGGGGATACCACTGTTCTTATCTTAAGCTTTGATGAAAATCTTGTTCTTCATTCAAACGATAAAATATTGGGTTGTCGGAAAAGTCATGATGTATTTTTTCTGTTTTTCGTTGCAAAAATGCGTCGTGTCTTTTCCTACAGCCCAATAGTTTTGAACTGTTTTAAATATTGTTTCTGTTTTCCATCTGGGCCGTACATTCCCATGTTCAAAATTCAAACAGTGCAAACCATGTGGGGTGGAAAGGTAGCTACCTCTGCCGAGCCCCTGGCTGTGTCCCCACAGGCGCCCAGGGTCATGGCTTCTTCCATGTCCTTGCAGAGGTGACTGGATTGTGTGTGGGCGGCATGTGCTGCATCCATGCCTGGGCCCCTGAGCCTTCCTGAGATCTGTGCTGCCTGGCTGGCTGCCGGGGCCCCGCCATGCGGTAAAAAGCACTTCTGCTTTTCCAGTTACTGTGACCCCCTCAGGACAGATCACTACCTCTGGCGCACTGACCTTTGACCGGGCGTCCACGGTGGAGGCCACTGCCGTCATCTCAGAAAGCCCCGCCCAGGGTGACGTCTTCGCAGGAGCCACAGGCGAGTAGTCCGGGCAGCACCTGACATGCACACGCCCCACCTCACCCCTGCTGGTAGGGGTTCGTAGGCGGCCTGGCACCTGGAGGGGCCTCCAGCAGGGGGGGTCTCATTGGTAGAGAGCTAGGTGGGCACCAGGCAGGTGGGAGGTGTGGGAGTGGGGTGATCGGCTGTGACAGCCCCCATCACCTGTCACAGCCCCATCACCTGTCACAGCCCCATCACCTGTCACAGCCCCCATCACCTGTCACAGCCCCATCACCTGTCACAGCCCCCATCACCTGAGAAGCTAGGAAACACCGTCTGGTGACTCCGCTCTAGACCACGTGTGCCCATGGCGTGTAATTGTGAATATTCTAGCCACCACGTTAGGAAAGCGGAAAGGCTGTGGGAACTCATGTTTGTGCCGTGTTTATTCCACCCCATGTGTCCCAAGAACTGTCGCCGCCACAGTTCAGGCCCACCTGTCTCCACGTGGTGGGAGCTGCCCTGAGGGCACAGCTGTGGACAGTTTGAGGTTTAAGGTCCATGCAGCCTATGGCGGGGTCACGAGGCTATCCTGCCCTTTTCCCATGACAGTGCAAGAAGCCAGCGTGCAGCCTCCGTGCAGGGTAGGCCCCACAGAGCCCCACTTCCCTGGGTACCAGGACAGCTGCCAGGTTGCACCGTTCCCAGAAGCTGCACTGCCAACAGCTCATCCCAAAATCGGTGAGTTTGGAAGCGTTGGGTGCGTGTGCCAGTGTCTGTCCTTGGACTGTGCTGCGTGAAGTACGTAGCCCTGGATCAGGGCTGTGCCACCGTCGGTCTGACAGGGACACGTGCAAGGTCACTTGTATGTTGTGTACAGCTGCCCCTGCCACGTGGCAGGCTGCTTACACACACGGAGACCATGTCCCACAGAGCCTGAAGCCCTGCCGGCCCTCAGGAGGGAGGCAGCGGGTCTGTCCTCGCTGTGAGGACACATGTCCCCGGGCAGGGCCTCCATCCCTCTGAGCTCTGGTGAAGGTGGCGACATAAGGACGTCCCACTGCACCTGCGTTGCCCTTTGGCTTCTCGTTTTGCGTTCTGGACACACTTCTGTGTCACTGCAGCCTCTTAAAGGGAGCCTTGTAGCCCCAGGTGTGGACATCTGTGTCCTGTGTCTCACGTCACAGACCACGGGGCAGATTGAACCGTATTCACAGCTTCAGGAGGTCACGACCTCATTTCGCTTGCTTTTGCCCATTTAAACTCTCCATCCTCGAGGCTCCCGCACGTCTGCCCCTTCCCTCACCATGCCTCCGGCAGCTCCCCGCCCAGGTGAGCGCTGGGGCCAGGCTGCGTCCTGGAGAGCCCGCTGGGCCTGGGTGACAGGGTGACCTCCCCATGCAGACGATCAGCCACAGCTGCTCGTCCTGCGTCCCGCTTGCTCATTTACTGGCTCAGCTCGGTGTGGCCTGTGGGGTCCTGTTTCATTCTCTGGGCCGTAACCTGTTACTGCCCCGGATTTGGCCCATCATCCTTGGAGCACATCCCTGCTTTCTGGCACAACGAGGCGTTGGAGGCTCGCGTCTGGTTCCTGGGGAGCCCAGATCCTTTCAGTGGAGCCAGTGTTGCAGCGCTGAGGGCTGGCTCTGGTCGCAGCTGGAGCGCTGCCTGCGTGCGTCTCGTGCCAGCCCACGTACTGACCTCACGTTGGCAGCTTGACACAGGCCATGGTGGGGCTTTGTACCAGAAGCCGCCAGCGCTGGAAGCAGGGTTTCTTCCTGGCTGCGTGTGGAACGCCCAGCAGCGCACAGCCTGGGCGCACAGGCTCTGGGCGTGTCTGCCCCCAGGTGTGTGCTGGGCCGCTGGTCCTATCCGAAGTCACAGGGGCCATTCAACCTTCCTCTCTTTCTGTATTTGTGACTTTCTTCTCCAAAAAGACGAGAGGCCTCAGTCCTGTTGTCAGTGATCAGGTGATCTCACACGCCTGGGGGACTTTCTGCACCAGCAGACATGTGACTTGAGGCACCCTCTCGCCTTTCTATACTTAACTTTTTTTGTTTTTGTTAAAGATTTTATTGGGGAATTGGGGGAGGGGAACAGCATTGGGGAATCGGGGAAGGGGAACAGACAAGTTGCTGTCCTTTTGTTCTTCAGTCTAGTTGTGGAGGACGTCGCTTCACTGGCCCATGTTGGTATTATCATTGTGCTCTTCCTGAATGAGACAGATTGGTCGCCGGCCTCTGGAGAGCCGCTCACAGCGGCTCTTGGCAGCTCACACCAACACGCCACTCGGCTGGCCCTTAATTTTTTAACGGAGGGGACGCTGCTTAAGAGTCCATAGGTTTCAGGTGTGCGTGTCTGCGGTTACAGCTCAGCACCGCAAGCCTAGTGCCTGTCTGTCACGGCGTGTGACCCCGAGCCCACCCCAAACCCCCAGTTCGCACATCTGGTTTACTGTTTGTGTGTGAGTTAATCTGGAGCCACTTCCTAACCCTGTCATTGTCCTCTCGATGGTCCTATGAAGGCTCATGGCCACCCTGCACGGGCACCTTTTGCTGGTCTGTGTGTGTCACCTGTAGACAGCCAGCTTCCAGCCTTTGGCTGTGGAGCTCTGAAGTCACGGAACGTCCCCATGTCGGGAACGTTTCAGAAGGAGGCCCTGTGACAATGCCTGCTCTCCAGGATTGGATGAGAAGCCAGTGGGGGCATTTTGAAGTCAGGAGCTGTGTTAATGTTTGGCTTTGGCACATTACAGTGTTGACATCCTTGCCGGCCCTGGCAGTCCCGCCCTCCAACCCCAGCAAACCCATTTCTCCCATCATGGTCAACGGGCTGGAGATGTCGGAACAGCGGCACTGGCTGTACCTGGAGGAGATGGTCAACTCCTTGCTGAACACGGCGCAGCAGCTGAAGACGCTGTTTGAGCAGGCTAAGCAGGCCAGCTCCTACCGGGAGGCCGCCGCAGCCCACGCCCGAGCCCAGGCGGACGCAGAGCGGAAGGAGGTAAGGGCGAGGCAGAGACGCAGTTGCAGGGAAGGGGACTGAAGCCACTGCTGACGAGCTTTTCCCATCGCTAAGGGACAGCTGCTCCTGGGAAGGGGTTTCTGGTTTTGATGAATAAGATCAGTTTATTTCAAAGGGGACTAGGTTTACCAGCCAGGCTTCATTTCTGAGCTCGCCTGTGATGGACGTTGTCACACTTCCAGGTGAGCATCATACACTGCAAGTGTCCTTATTTTATTAAGTTGAAGAAACAGCCTGTGTGTCTGTGGGCAGATGCACGGCCTCCGTCCCCCTCCTTGTCCCGCACTTTCTCCACCTGCTCTCAGGGCCCCATGGGGACAGTCTCCCAGCCCCTGAGGCCCAGTCATGTCTCACTGCATTCTTGAGAAGTAGTCCCATGTGTGGCGTCACGGTTGACGAAGCCGTGTGTCCCAGGGTGTTATTGCAGCGGGAAAAGCCACTCAGCCGTTTGGCTTCTGTTTGCTGCACAGTCGTTGTTTTGGGCCAAGACCCTAAGCACAGGTGGTGGCAATACCGCCCTGCCAGAGACAGGTCACCAGAGACCTAGTGAGGTGGGCAGCGGGCCGTGGCCATCGGCTGCTTTTCGGCTCACACCCAGCGTGGGAGATGCTGTGAATTACAGGGGTGGGGGGCGCTGCCGGCTTCCTCCAGGAAGGTTTCCTGAATGGGAGGGAGGTCAGGGAGCATGGAATGCCGGTGTATTTTTTTTTTTAAGATGTTATTGGGAAATTAGGGGAGGTCAACAGTTCTGGGGAATCGGGGGAAGGGGAACAGACAAGTTGCTATCGTTTTGTTCTTCAGTCTAGTTGTGGAGGACGTTGTTTCACTGGCCCAAGCTGGCACCATCATTGTGCTCTTCCCGGGCGAGGCAGATCAGTCGCCGGCTTCTGGACGGCCGCTCACTGTGGCTGCTGGCCGCTCACGCTGGCTGCTGGCTACACACAGTAGCCCATGGCAACCCACTGCCTCAGGGGCTGCAGCCTATGCCGTCTTTGGCGACCCACGGCAGCCCAGCCCCAGGTTGAGCTGCCGTTCACCATCTTAGCTGCAGAGGGCAGTGTCACTGGCCCTCATATGTGGGATCCGAACCGGGGCCCACTGGCATCCCAAGCCAGTTCTTAACCATCGCACCACTCAGCCGGCCCCTCAAAGTGATTTCTTAATATGTGAATAATTGTGTTCTTAAAAAATTTTTTTTTTTTTTAAGATTTTTTTGGGGGGGTGGAGTTAGGGGAGGGGAACAGCGCTGGGGAATCTGGGAAAGGGAACAGACAAGTTGCTATCGTTTTGTTCTTCGGTCTAGTTGTGGAGGATGTTGCTTCACTGGCCCAAGATGGCACCATCACTGCGCTCTTCCCGGGCGAGGCAGATCAGTCATCGGCCTCTGGGCGGCCACTCACAGCGTCTGCTGGCCGCTCACGCCAGCTGCTGGCTACACACAGTAGCTCATGGCAACCCACTGCAGCAGGTGCTGCAGCCTACGCCGTCGCCGGCGACTCACGGCAGCCCAGCCCCAGGTCGAGCTGTTGTTCAGCATCTTAGCTGCAGAGGGCAGTGTCACTGGCCCTTATATGTGGGATCTGAACCGGGGCCCTCTGGCGTCCCAAGCCAGCTCCTAACCAATGCGCCACTCAGCCGGCCCAAAAAAATCTTTTTAAAAAAATGTTTTATTGGGGAATTGGGGGAGGGGAACAGCATTGGGGCATCAGGGAAGGGGAACAGACAAGTTGCTGTCCTTTTGTTCTTCTGTCTAGTTGTGGAGGATGTCTCTTCACTGGCCCATGTTGGCACCATCATTGCACTTTTCCTGGTGGAGGCAGTTGCTTGCTGGCCGCTGGACGGCCACTCACGGCGGCTCTTGGCAGCTCACGCCGGCTGCCTGGACACACACAGTAGGTCACAGCAGCCCACTGCAGCCTACGCTGTCGCCTGCGACTCACGACAGCCCAGCTCCAGGTTGAGCTGTTGTTCACCATCTTATCTGTAGAGGGCGCTACTGGCCCTCATGTGGGATCCTAACCAGCAGCCTTGCTGCTCAGATCTGGCGTCCCAAGCCAGCTCTTAACCAACAAGCCGCTCAGCCGGCCCTAAAATTTTTTTTTATGTTTCAGTTACAGCTGACGTGCACTATGATGTTAGTGACAAGACATTTATGTAACTTACTAGGTGACCCCGACAAGTCCAGTACCCACCTGACACCATAGCAATTAATTTGTTTTCAAGGAAGAAAACCGTTGCTTTTGCTATTGAAGAAAGAGATAATTTAAAAATACATAAAAATGTAATTCTAAACTAGTTTTTCCTAAGTGCTGAATTTTATAGAAAGGAAAAAGCATGAGGACAAAAAAAAAATCTATAATTATTTACCCGAATCGTGTGTGTTCAGCTCTGCGCCTTCGTAGAGGCCCTCGGCCTCCTTCCCCTCGTGATGTCACGGGTTTCAGTGTGAGAGCCCAGGACAGGTGCTGTCACCATCCCTGGAAGAACGCAGCCTCTATGAAACCACCGGCAGCAGCGCAGCTGCCCAGCCATGTGCAGACCGCTGTGAGACTGAGACTTATGTGTAACGTGAAAACGGAGAAACGAAACCAAACCGACCAGCGGCCCCCACACCTGAAGCAAGCCAACGGCAGCTGACTCATCAGTGGAGAAATGAAACCAGACGCACACACAGAAAACAAACTGTGAACCAGTAGTTTGATGCTTTTTTATGGCAAAATTGCCTTCCGGCCAGTTAGTTATGTGGTGCAAACTTTTGTGGCTGAGACGTTTGCGGGGAAGATTCCGGACGTGTTCTTGACACCGTGTGGCGGGGCCGGTGTTGGGAACTGTGTTGGCCCCTCTGTGAGAAGGCCTGCGTCTGCTGTAGGATGCTGGGTCCTCAGGGAGGTCCCGGTGATGGTCTGTCACTGCTGGGAGGCGCTGGCCCAGCACCGACCCATGTCTCTGTGTGGCTTCCTTTGCTTTCGTCCCCACTGCCCCATGGGATCACCCTCTTTCCCTTCAGCTCACTGAATGCTTTCATGGTGGCTCCTGGAGTCTTAGCTGATCCCAGCACCCAGCTCACCTTGGCCGCTTCTCCCCTTGACCATGGATACGAGTTTCCTTTCTTCACGTGTCTAGTAACTTCTGGTGGTTTGCTGGACATTTGGGTTTATTCCTGGTTGGACACTGTTGGATTCTGTCACCTCCCTTGGAAAGGATCGGGTTGGTTCTGGGGAGCCCTTGAGTTCCTGGCTGGTCTTTCTGACACTTTGTTAGGTGGGTCTGTGTCACGTTCCTCTGTCTGACCCACCCTCCGTCCTGCATGTGGGCGGTGTGGCTTTCCTGGGCTTGGGGCCGAGGTGCCTGCTGTCCCCCTAGGCTCCTGCAGGGGCTTCAGCCCCCATGCTGTGTGGGCTGGGGGCCTCGTGGAAAAGCCACTCACGCCCTCTGTGTCCTGCAGACCCTTCCTTTCAGGGCCAGGTCCTCTCCAGTTCTGACCTGCTTTCAGTTGCTTTTGAGCCGACAAGTTTGTGTCACATGCAGTCGTGGCTGGGAGGGTCCGCCCTGCACAGGCGGCTCTCATGCACCCAGCCGCTAGCCCTGCGGTCTCCTTTCCGCTCCTGAATGACACATGGCAAGTGTGCTGCTGGGTAACTGATGTTCTATGACTTCATTTCTGCGTATTTGATGTTTCTAAGTATCGTTTTGCTCCTGATTTTGAATTACTTAATTGCCTGTGGGGTTTTTTTTTAAGATTTTATTGGTGGAATTGGGGGAGGGGAACAGACAAGTTGCTGTCATTTTGTTCTTCAGTCTAGTTGTGGAGGATGTCGCTTCACTGGCCCATGTTGGTATTATCATTGCGCTCCTCCTGGCTGAGGCAGATTGGTCGCCAGCCTCTGGATGGCTGCTCAGGGCGGCTCACGAAAGCGCATGCCTGCTGCCGGCCACTCATGCCGGCTGCCAGCCACACATAGTAGCTCACGGCAGCCCACTGCAGCCCCACTGCTACACCGTCACCAGCGACTCACGGCAGCCCAGCTCCAGGTCGAGCTGTTGTTCACCATCTTAGCTTTAGAGGATACAGTGTTACTGGCCCTCATGCGGGATCTGAACCGGGGCCCTGCTGCTCAGAGCTGTTTTCCCAAGCCAACTCCTAACCAACACACCACTGGCTGGCCTTGCCTGTGGCTTTTGTCATTATAAACAGCATATTGGTTGTTACTGCAAATTCGCATTTCCACGTTTCTGGTCGTAGCCCTAATGTGCAAAAGGAAAGCACACGGACATCTCTTCTTTATTGAGATGTAATTTACACACCATAAGTCACACCTGAGCACCCATCACCCTTGTCTAATTCCGGAACGTTTCATCCTCATCCCCCAAAAGTGACCCGTGAGCCTTGCTCCTGGCCTCCCTGGTCCTGCCCGCCGCCCACTGCCCTGTCTGCGGACGCACCTGTTCTGGGCGTTTCATGTATGTGTGACCTCACCCGGTGGCCTGTGCATCTGGTGTCTCACTGAGCACTGTATGTTCAGTGTGGATCCACATCATAGCGAGGACCATGCCCCCTTCACGGCCAAGTGACGCTCCCGTGTGTGGATGGGCCACGGTGGCTTTTCCATTCAGCAGTTGGTGGACACTGGGCTGTTTCTGCTCTGGCTGCTCTGGACGCGTGTGTACGGCTGTTTGTGTGCATACCTGTTTTCACTTCTCTTGGGCAGAGGAACCGCCAGGCTGTTTCCATAGCCTTGTATGTGGCTTCCAGGTTCTCACGGCCTCATCTGCTCCTGTGGTCGCCTGGTTTTCTGGTCCCAGCTGTCCTGCTGACCAAGGGGCTGTGGCGCGGCTTGGCCTTGCGTTTCCTCGATGACTCCAGGCGCTGGGCTCCTTGTCACCTGCTTGTGGACCACTTTGCACCCTCCTTGGAGTAGTGTCTTTTCAGATCCTTTCCCTGTTTTTTTAAAAATATTTTTATTGGGGAATTGGGGGAGGGGAACAGCGCTGGGGAATCGGGGAAGGGGAGCAGACAAGTTGCTGTCCTTTTGTTCTTCAGTCTAGTTGTGGAGGACATCACTTCACTGGCCCAAGTTGGCACCATCATTGTGCTCTTCCCGGGCGAGGCAGATCAGTCGCCGGCTTCTGGACAGCCGCTCACTGCGGTTGCTGGCTGCTCACGCTGGCTGCTGGCTATGCCGTCACCAGTGACCCACAGCAGCCCAGCTCCAGGTTGAGCTGTTGTTCAGCACCTTAGCTGTGGAGGGCAGTGTCACTGGCCCTCATATGTGGGATCCGAACTGGGGCCCTCTGGCGTCCCAAGCCAGCTCTTAACCAACGCGCCACTTGGCCGGCCCCTTTCCCTGTTTTTAATTGGGTTAAAAATCAATGTAATATGAAAATGGAGGTTACTCATTGATTCCTAGATATTATTGAATATGCTTTGTGTGTCGGGTCCTCTGCGAGCTATTGAACAGGTACTGATGACTTTTGTCATTTTCCCCCCAGAATCAGAAGGGGTTTGGGGATCATTTGATCCCCAGGCAGGGAGGGAACCTGAGATGTAAACAGCAGCGGTGACCCCGCCTCGTGCCTGCCGCCAGGCCGTGCAGTGGGTAGCTGCCAGCCCCGTTGGGCTGCCCTTTGGTCCGGCAGGTTCCTTCAGGTGAGGAAAGCGTGCCTTCACATAGCTGTCCCAGGCACGCCTGAGGACAAAAAGGAAGGAGTGTCTGATGTGTCTTCTAATTCTAACTGTGTGAGGAAGCGGATATCGGAGAACAAACGTGTGTCCTTACTTGGATGGTCCCTGAGTCGTGGGTCCCCAGCAGGCCCCCAACCCACGGCCATGCCGTGTGGGCCTCCCTGGGGACAGAGGGACGGGCAGCATGGGACGCTTGGGTTGGGGGCGCACCAGCTGGGCAGGAATCTGAACTTCATGCTGCTGAGGAAGTGAAAGAGGAAACTTCTGCTTTCCATTTCCTTTGCTGACCGCTGTTGGCCTTTCTGCCACAGAGTGAGGCTTACAAGCAGTGACACTGCTCCCTGGGCTCACATTCTCGCGTGGGCGGGTGACTGCAGGCTAAACGTCCACTGCTCTCTTCACCAGATGGCACATGACGTGCACCATCCCCTGTGTGGTCCCCACATAGAATAGCCACAGCTCACGGCCACTTTTAGCCTCACATCATGCTTAGAGGGTCCAGAAGATGAATTCCTGTTGGGGGTGGCCGGTGGCCGTCGCTGGGGGCAGGAGGGTGCTGACATTGAGTCCCTTAGGTCAGCCAGGAACGCTGATGTGTCTGGGCAGGCAAGGTCCCCACCCCTGAAAATTGTAATTTTATGTGTTTCGAAGAAACAAATGCAACACGAAATCCCTTTATCCTTAAAGTCTTGTTTGCTAGACGACTGCTAAGCCTGTTAGGAGAGGGTTCAGCCGGGCAGGGCCGGCCACCGAGCCTCCCGCGAAAGCCCAGTCACGTTTCAGCCTCCTGAGCCTTTGATCGGCTGGGACTGCCACAGCATGTTTGTCCTTTCTCTCGGGCTGTAGATTCGATGTGACACTCTCAATTTCATCGAAAGCTGAGCACGTAACCTGGTGAGATGCATCCGTCCTCGTCTCAGAATCACAGGCCGAGTGGCCCCGTGCAGCCCGGACACGTGGACATGCTCCTGTGGGAACCCTGGTAAACAGCTGTGCGTGTAGACGGGTGTCAGCCACACAGCACTGCGTGTTTCACCTTTTAGCACGAAGGTCTGACCTTCGTGGCCTGGGATGACCACAGCACCTGGACGCCAGGTTCTTGTGAAATGATGGGCTCTCAAGTGACAGTCAACTGCTTGGAGAGTCCCCTCTCCAGGGGTTTTACAGGGGCTGGAGGCTCAGAAGTGCCAAAGGCCCGGATTTGAGCCATGTATGAGGGAGGAAGGAACCCAGAGTGCACCCCTGAAACATGCTGACTGCGGTGACCTGGGGGTGCCGGTGCAAGCATGTGTGTGGTCCAGGTGTGCATATGCGTGTGGCCCAGGTATATGCACGTGTGTGGCCCAGGTGTGCGTGCGCATGTGGTCCAGGCGTGTCAGACGTGCTGAGTGGTTTTCTTCCAAGGGCCTTGCTGTGACATGAATGACAGCTTGCGTGGGAGTGAATTCCCCATCCCTGAGCCCATCCCATTGGAGGGCGTAAAACTTCTTATGCCATTAAATGTTGCAGGTACTTTTGTTTGATTATAACGCTGGGAAGAGTTTGGGGTCAGAAAGGCAAGTCCTGGAAGCTTTCAGTGGGAGGTGTGAGAACCCGTCCCACACTGTCTTCCTGAGTGGGCAGGTGGGGGACAGAGTCAGGAGAGGAAAGGTTGCAGGGGTCAGAAAGGGGTCACGAGCCCATGGCCAGTGCAGGGGCCAGCTGCCCACTTCACCTTGTGTCTGGGATTTAAAACCCAGGTCATGCAGCTGAGACTGTCAGGGAGGTCGTTACAGCTGTGACTGAGTGCTGCGTTCATGTGTGCCGTTGGTGCGTCGAGATTAAGCGGGGTGGAGAGCAGTGCCCGTGGCAAGGGCACCGCGTCCAGTGGGGAAGGCCGTAGGGTCTTGGGCTGCCTGCCCCCGAAACATCTGCGGGAGGCTGCCTGCCCACCCGCCTTGCTCTCCCTGGAGACAGCTGTGCAGTGGCTTCGTTTGCTTTTCCTTGAAGTGGTTTGTCATTCCAAGTAGAAGGGACAGAGCGCATCGGGCCACAGACCCACCTGGCGCCGCCGTGTTGTCTGAAGTGCATGCACACGGATGCTGCAGGTGCTTTACGAGTGGAAAACAGTCGCAGTAAATAGTGTTTTGCAAAGAAGGAATTCATACGGGAACCCTGTGAGTCTGCTGCGTTAGCATATGCGTGCGGGAATGTTGGGGGGCGGTCGGCAGCACCGGTCTCTGTCTCGGAGAGTGACAGCCGGGCCACCTCGGCAGCCAGGGGCAGGCCTCTTCCCTGTGCAGCCCTAAGTTGACTAAAAACAAAAGTCCAGTCACGTGACTTAGGGGGGAATGTACCCAGAATGTCCATTTCAGAATCAGGGTGGGGTAGGCCGGGGCTGTATTGTGGCTGCGGAGAGCCCAGGAGCGTCTCCTGGCCACTGGGCCCAGCCCGCTTCTGTCCAGGGCCACGCCTGCTGCCAACGCTGGGGAGCCCTGTCCCCACACTGGGTTCTCTGCGCTTGGTGCAGACGAGGTCCCTGGAGTTTGGAGGACGGCTAACGGTGTGGTGCCCATCCCACCTCCCGGTCAGTGACCACAAAGCTTGTTGGATAGAGGAGCTGACTCTGGAGGTGACAGGAGTGGGCACGTGGGCAGCACCGGGGACGGGACACACGTCAGAGCCCTATGGTCCCTGCATCTCCCCACACTGACCAGCTCTTATGCCCTTGCAGCAATCCTGCGTCAACTGTGGCCGGGAGGCCATGAGCGAGTGCACCGGCTGCCACAAAGTCAACTACTGCTCGACCTTCTGCCAGCGCAAGGTAGTGCCCCCGCCCGCCGCACTCCCGCCCGCCTGCCATGCCTGCACCGGCCTGCACTGCCCAGAGCCCTGTCCCTCAACCTCGTCTTGGCAGGCGCCACCCAGCCCTGGATGCTTCTCCTGGGTTGTGAGCCTTGGGGTGACTGGGCTCCTGTCTCCATTTCCGTTAGTCGGCCTTTGGTTCTAAGGACATGGGAGGGCACGTTTTGCAGTGTAGCTATTGCTAGCTCAGCCTAGCCAAGGGGGAGCTGGACAGGGGGCGGCCCCACACTGGAGATGACAACCTGGGGGGGACAAACAGAGAGTCTGGTGGTTGGTGTGGCCCACGCTGCCCGTGCCCCATGGCCTGTCCCCCAGCCCAGGGACTGCCACCTGGTGCCCCTGGAGCACTTTCTGTTGTCACAGAAACCCTGTGGTCACAGGCTTGGGTGGAAGGGATGGGATGACCACAGGACTGAGGCAAGGGTGTGGCTGAAGGAATGCGTGCCCGGCCAGGGGGACCCCGAGACCTGACCGGGCCCCTTGGGTGCTGGAGACAGGAAGTGGAACGGCAGCTTTCCCTGCAGTGTCACCAGTGAGCTGGGACTGAATGGTGGCGTCTGCGCTGCCGGGCTGTGCGGTGTAGGGTCTGGGAGGGAACTGCTGGGCACCGGCATTGGCATCTGAGGGGATGAGCTGCACATGTTCCCTGAACTTGAACCATCGCAGGAAGACCCTGGGTTTGCCTTTCCCTGGGGTGGTTTTCCAGGGCTTGGTCCATCGCCTGTGAGCTGCAGTCTCGGCCGTCTTTTCGCCAGCTGGACAGGTCAAGTTCTAGGTTTAATCTTGGCAGAGGCCCTGCTTCCCTGTTGAGGGTGTTTGCTGACACATACGTGCACTGGCTTTCCTCATGTAAACTGGCCTCAAGTGAGTTCCCAGAACCACAGTGAACCGGATGTGAAAGGAAGCTGCAGTGCTGAGTGGCCTCGCGGCCTCCTGGGGGCTCCCCGTGTTCCTGGAAGCACTTGCATAGGCCGGGAATCGTGTCCAGGAATCGTGCTCAGTAATCATGCTTGTATTTTTATGCTTGGGCTGGTTTGGGGTTTTGAGTGGAAAACTTCATTTTCTTTGTAAATGTGCGTGAGGGCGTGAGAAAGAGAGAGAGAGAAAGAAACACATCCTCGATGAGCGTGATTTACATGCCATAAAACGCACCCGCATTGAGGGTACAGGTCAGTGCCTTCCTGAATCTGAAGTTGTGCAAACATCACAGCTCAGCTTTAGAACTTGCATCACCACAAGACACCCCGCAGGCCCGGCCCAGCCTCTGGCGAGCACGAGGCTACTTCCTGTAGATTCGCCTTTTCTGTATGTTTCATGTAACCGGCTGGCATCTCGGCATCGGAGCCGTCGGTGTTTCTTGGTTCCACTCCTGTCTGAGCGCCTGTCCAGGTCCGCGGTGTGGACGGCCCACGTTGAGGGCCGGCTGGGCTGTCCACACCATTTGACTGTTGTGAACCTGACGTACGAGTTTAGGAGGGTGGACGTGTGTTTGTCTGTCTCGGCGAGGGGTGGATTTGTTAGGCCACATAGTAAGTTTATGTTTATTAAGAAACCACCAGAGCGGCTGCACCGTTTTGCACCCCCGCCGGAGTGGGCGGGGCTCTGGCCTGGAGGTCCGCCCCACGCCCCGCACGTCACTGTCTCTCTGGTTATAGCCGCGCCCCTGTGCGCAACTTGCATTTCCCGCTGCCAGGGGCCTTGAACGTTTTTTTGGCTGCCTGTTAGGCAGCTGTGTATCTTTTTGGGGGCAATGTCTTCTCAAATCTTTTGCCCATTTTTAAATTGGATGTTTCTCCCTCCTCTTTTTTTTTTTTAACTGAGCCATCCTGCCACCTGTTGGCAGCTCAGCAGCAGCTCATCTCGGGCCGGTAATTGAACCGGCGACCCTGTTACTCAGAGCTCGCACTCTTAAGCCACTCTACCGGCTCTGGTTTCTCTCCTTATGAGTATAGAGAGTTCTGTGTATATTCTGGGCAGAATCCTTCATCAGATATGCAATCTGCAAATATTTTCTCCCCGTCTGTGATTCATTTGTCTGTTTCCTTAATAGTGTTGTTTGCGGGGCAAACATTTTTAACTTTTTTTTTTTTTTTTAAGATTTTTTTTGGGGAATTGGGGGATGGGAACAGTGTTGGGGAATTGGGGGAAGGGGAACACACAAGTTGCTGTCCTTTTGTTCTTCAGTCTAGTTGTGGAAGATGTTGCTTCACTGGCCCAAGTTGGCACCATCATTGCGCTCTTCCTGGGTGAGGCAGATAAGTCGCCGGCCTCTGGACGGCCGCTCATGCTGGCTGCTGGCTACACACAGTAGCCCATGGCAACCCACCTGTCAACACCCGCGACTCACAGCAGCCCAGCTCCAGGTTGAGCTGTTGTTCAGCATCTTAGCTGTGGAGGGCAGTGTCACTGGCCCTCATATGTGGGATCCGAACCGGGGCCCTCTGGCGTCCCAAGCCAGCTCTTCACCAATGCGCCACTCGGCTGGCCCAAACATTTTTAACTTTGATGAAGTTCAGTTTGTCAAAACAATTTTTTAATGGAGATCATGCAGTTGGTGTCAAAATTCAGGACTTTTGCCTAGCTCGAGGTCAGGAGGTCTGTTTTGTTCTTAAAACATTTATAACTTTATAGCTCTTACATTGAGGTTTTTAACCCATTTTGAGTTAAGCTTTACGGATGGTGTGAGACGCTGTGGACCAAGCGTTCGTACGTGAAGTCTCATGTGCTGTATCGGTTTACACAGTCTGTTTCCAGGTTATTTTCAAGTTAAAATTTTATTCTTTTGATAAAATTTCAAATTTTACCTTTTTATTATAAAAACGAGGCACACTTATTGCAGAAAATGTGGGAAACATAGGCCAGCACAGCGGTAATCGTCGGGATATAGCCGTCCAGGAAGTCCCCGGGAGCATTGCACACACGTGTCTGTTCTCCCAAGTGCATGTTTTTTCATGCATGTCACGTCACTTTGTGCCAAACCCTGGCCTCGCCGTCGGCCCAGGTTACGTCTGTCTTGACTGATGACGCGGCCGTCCTTCCCTGGCCATCAAGCGTCTTGAGAACCCTGGTCCAGGCTGAGGCCGCTGGGCATGGTGGGGACATGGGGACAGTCAGCTCCATTTCCCACCTGTGAACAGGCCGATGGCAGCACCAGCCCTACCTGGGGTGGGGCAGGAGCTGGGGTCTGCTCCCACCTCCTGTGAGCCACGGGCACCGGACGCTCCTGCCGACGCGGCTGGCTCCCACCGTGTTTTTTCATGTTTGGAATTATAAATAACACCATTGGCAGCCACACCAGCTACAGACATTTCTCTGTTTGTCCGGTTCTTTCTGGTTTAGATCCCTGACCGGGAATAAAGGCGTCAGCGTGCATGCCTTTCGAGGTCTCGGTGTCTTAAGGCTCATCCTGGCTCTGTGCCTTTTGAGCCGGTTCTGCAGACACGAGCCTTGGCAGGCTGGCCGCTGGTTTGGTCACACGCTCGAGCAGCTGCAGCCCTGGTGCACTGCCGCCCCAGGCCCCGCGCCCGTGTGCAGGCTTCTCTGACCTGAGGTGGCGGCTCCTGGTGACACGGCATGTGTGCTTCTTGCAGGACTGGAAGGACCACCAGCACATGTGTGGTCAGTCGGCGGCCGTCACTGTGCAGGGGGACGAAGTCCACGTCGCCGAGAGCGTGATAGAGAAAGTCAGCGTGTGAGAGCTCGCCGGTCCCCTCTCTGTGGGGCCACGGGGCTGTTGCAGGCCCAGGGCCCCTCGAGGACTGCTGGGGGACGCTGAGAAGTGAAGGAGCTTGCTGGCCAAGTTAGGAACAGACTTGTGACCTGTGCCCTTGGAGGTGAACTTGTGCTGCCCAGAAGCCCGAGGAAGGTCGGGGCAGCGGCCAATGGACGGGCCTTCTCACGGTGCTTTTTTATCTTTTGGATCATGAGCGTCCCGTCTTACCCACAGGTGTGTGGTGGTCTGTAACACGCGTGTACGTACATGTGTCTCAATAAAGTCCATGTCCCTTGCCCCATCTGGTGCAGTTCCAGCCCTACCTTCCCAGATGCCCGGGAGGTGGGCCTCAGTTTTCCTGATGAAGCGGTTGACCTTTGACCCTGGGGAATGGTGAGGCACCTGCTCCATCTGTCACCTGAGGAGCTGGAGCGGACACAGGAGCTCCAGGGTGGCATTGCCCCTGGTACATGGGTCCCTCAGGCCTCAGAGCCACCATCCAGTCTCTGAAGTAACTTGCTCTTCGGTGGCCACCAGGCGGTGACAGCCTGTGTGTGACCCCAGAGAAGAGGTCTCACGTCGTCCCTTTAGCACAGATCACACCTGAGAACCCTAGACCACTCAGAGGCCAGGCTGCCTGGCTTCTCTGCACTGACCACACAGCCGCGTGGTGCTGGCAGGTGGCCTTGATTTTCAGCGCCAGTGGGCAGGTCACCACCTCTGACAGTGTCGTGTGGCCTGTGCCAGGGCATCTCCTCATTGCTGCGCCCCTTACAGCCCGGGCTCGGCTGTACCAGGAACCGGGTGGAGGGGATCCGAGGGGGCCAGCGTGGGGCTGGCACCTGGGGGACTCAGCACCAGCCACGTTTTGGTGTCAGACTTGGCTGGCCCTGGAAACGGGACCTCTCCCCCACCCTGCTGACCAACAGTGGTGCCGAGGAGCAGTCCCCCCACATTCTGGAAGTTTCTGTAGGTTTCCAGAATAGCCCTTGTGGCCCTGAGATCCTGGGCCAGCCATGGCCTGTTCTCTCTGCACTGAGGGGTCTCAGAGGCTCGGCCTGCGCTGGGAGAGGATCCCCACAGCTGGGAGACGCCCTGTGGGGCTGCAGTGCCGAGCCTGGCGGCCACCAAGTGTCAGAGCCAGTTTACAGGCTGCTGCTGATACTGCCTCTGGGGCAGGTTCTATGAGCTGCGCGTCGGTCGCGTTCATACCACCATGGGCGTGAGAATTCTCCAGCCCTGCACCTTTGGATTTCTGCTTCCAGACGGTTCTTCCGAGTCGGTCGTGCACTAGAGACTTGCTGTTTGGGACTCTGGCTTGGGACTGAGCCATGGGGGCCCGGGCCCTGCTCCCCAGGAGCCCTCTACCTGTGCTGCATTTGGCCCCCTGGACTAAGCCAGCTTGAGTTTCTCTTTAACAAGTGCTGATGAAGTGGCTGTGTCCTGGCATTTCACCTTCCTGCCTCCATCATCACCTCTGGGGGCCAAAGGCTGGAGAAGCCTGGGCAGAGAACATGGGTAGCCCGGCGGGGTCTAGAACCTGGCCCCAGCGGGCACCCACGGCTGTCCGCACCGGGCCCCCTCCTCAGAGGTGCATGGTGAGTGGGTTCTTTAGTCTGCAGAGTGCACGGGGCCTCACGAGGTCTGCTCAATGGAAAGCCATGTGAGCCTCAGCAGGAGGTGCCTGGCCAAGGGGCCTGCACCCCAAGAAGGAATCCCCCAAACCTGAGAATGCTAAAGACGCAAGTGCATGTTGGCATGCAGCCAGCAGGGACGGGGCTCCAGGTGCCCACTCTGGCGGGCAGCTCCGCCCAGCACCCACCCCTTGTGTAGACCAGGCACTGCAGGATGGCGGCCATCCCTGGGGGTTAGGGGGCGCTCCTGAATTGGGGGCAGCTTACTCTTCCACCTTTTCTTTACAATAGAAACCTCAAGACTACACACTTTGGGGGCAGTTTTTCAAAGTACCATCTCTGGGCCCCTATAGCTGTGTCTACGTAGCCAGGCTGTTGGGTGGCTTCTGGAACTTGCTCTCTGGGGCGCTGGGGGTTTGTCTGCAGGCAAGGCTCTGTGTCAACGCTTCTGATGGCATCGCCTAGCAGACATAGCCTGGGGGACAGGCAAGGGGCCAGCTTCTGTCAACTGGTGCAAAGCACCGGCCCTTCGAGGGCCAGCCACGGACCCTTTGGGCACCAAAGGCCCTCTCGCCCAGAGAGCTGCAGGCTGGGGTTGCCCGTGGCATGGGTGGGCCCAGCGAGCAAGGTGGGCCAGTGAGGCGCCTCCTGGTCAGCTGGGCTCTCTGCAGATCTGCACCTGGTCCTCCGTGGCCACCTGGTCCCTGTGGCCACTTCATCCCCCTCTGTATCTGCCCACAGGGCTGGTGGGATGGTGTGGGGCCACCAGCAGGTCCCAGCCCATCCGTAGCTCAGCCCCCGAGGGGAGTTGCAGCTCGCAGGCCTGGCCCTGACGAGGAGCATGGTCAGCCCTGTCCCCACGTACGGGAGATGGGGACATGGCCTCGGTTCATACAGAGCCTGGGTGGGGAGTGCAGAGCCCCAGGTGTCTGCAGGTGGCAAGTGTGGCTGGATGAGGTCCCCTTGGTTTGCAGCGGCAAACCCAGCTCTGCTCGCCTGAAGTAGGCATATGTGGGGCCTGCTCTGTGCTGGGCCATGGAGGCCCCACAGGCGCGTGTGGCCTGTCAGGTGCCAGCAGGTTGTGGGCTGGTATGGAGCTGAGGGGAGCAGAGCCGGGCAGTGGGGCCAGCAGCCAGCGTCCAGGAGGGTCCCTCACTCCAACCCTGCCAGCAGGCTGACAGCCCCAGTGGACGCTTCCACCCCCAATCTTCAAGTCTGAGGTTCCCAGGGGACCATGGCCAGGCCCGGGGCAGGTGCCTGTGCCTGAGACAGCCAGCAGGGCTCAGCTGTGCCATCTGGGGCCCTTCTCAAGTATTGGGGCTACTCCCTGAGGTGGGGGAGACCCAGTGTTTGCTGCAGCTGTCCTCACACCTCACGGGCAAAGTGCCCGAAGGTCAAGCACCCACAGAGCTGGGATCCTTCCCAGGTGCCCCTCCCCGACCCCCACTGCCTGTCAGACCCTGTGTGGGCACAGATATGGTGCCCCTCGTCAGCCCCCAGTCCCGCAGGAGACAGACGTGAACCCTCATTATTCAGACGGGGACAAGGTGGCCGTGGGCAAGCTCCAAGCGGGTGGGGGTGGGGATCAGGGAAACCTCTCAGAGAGTGAGGGCACCAGAGGGGCAGGTGGCATTTTGACTCCTGACTGCCTGATGCTGTGGACCTCTCAGCCTTAATTTCTCACGTTATTGGACACAGCCTCCTAGACTGGGAGAGCAGACATGAGTCCAGGTTGGGCTTCCTTGTTGGGGGGGAGGCTGAGCAGAGGAGCAGCTTGGGTGGCTCTGTCAGGCCTTGAGTCCTCCGCCCCTCCCTCCTCCAGCGCCCTGGACCTGGCAACTGGGCAGAGGATGGCTGAGCGCCCTGTGGGCTCACTGCAGAGTGCTCTCCAGGGAGGAGGGAGGCTGCCTGGGGCCGGGATGGCCGGCTCAGCTTCCCAGGCCCTTCTCCTTGGGGGTTGGGCATCTGGTCAGGGGCTGGCAGAGATCTGTGCTCTGAAGAGGCAGCGGCCAAAAGGGTGGGCCGGGCCAGCTCGGCTGTGTTTTGCAGAGACAATGGGGCAGGCCACCTTGGCTGGTCCTTGGAGAAGCAGGGGCTGCTGCCTGGCCCACTGTGGTGGCCCAGACGCTGGGTCAGGGGCTGGGGGCTGCAGCTGGTGCGCAGTGTGGGAAGTGGGCCTGTCGGAGGGGGGATGTCAGTACACTGTGGGAGCCCCAGGGCAGCCCCAACCTGCAGAGCCCTTGGGTGGAGCTCCCAGCTCCCCGGAGTCAAACCCAACACTCCCCACCGCACCCCAGGAGCAGTGCCGGTGCCCCCCACGCCACCCTGAGCCAGGAGAGGCTTTGTGGGGTCTGTTCTGTCGGAAGGAAGGAGTTAACTGGCCGGCGAGGGTCAGTGGGGGCCTGGGCTCCCTGTGGGGACAGACTCCTCCTCGCCACCCTCCTGTTTTTAGGAAGGAATTCGTTTTATTACAAAAGCGCCCCCTCCCCTTGGCGGATGCTTGCCCCCCTCCCCCCAAGGTGGGGACGCCTCAGCGGACAGACGGACGGTGCAGCGGGGCCTGCTCAGCGGCGGAGGCGCAGGGCCTTGCGGAAGGCCGCGCGGAACTCCGCGTTGAAGGCCGTGTAGATGAGCGGGTTCAGGGCGCTGTTGACGTAGCCCAGCCACGTGACCGCGCTGACCAGCCGCGGAGGCACCGCGCAGGCCGGACACAGCGCCCGCGTGACGTGCACCACGAAGAAGGGGGTCCAGCAGACCAGGAAGGCCCCTGGGGCGGAGGGGAGGCGTGAGCCGGCCGCCCGCAGCGCCCGCAGCGCCCGCAGCCCCGGCCCCGCCC